ATATATATATATATATTTGTATGTGTTTGTTTTGTTTTGTTTTAGAGGATGAGCAGAAAATGACCAAACAGTAAGTTTGCACAACTTACAACTTTAATAAGCCAGTTGTCACAAACTACAAACAACTCTGAACAGCCCCCTGTTCTCAATAAAAGCAGAGGTGGGTGCAAATGAACAATTTTCATCTTCTAGACCAAGGTTTTTACAGAGAACATCTTGAAAAATATGAAGAACAAAATACAGATTTCCATTTATTAATGACACTTCTGCATTCATCTTATTTGGAGGAACTAGAACCACAAACACAACCTACATTTACCCAAACGCAAACCATGTAACCCAAATAAGAAAACAATACTCAACCCTGAAAAGTTAGAAACTTTGAGCCTGTCTCATAATGCAGACATGCAAAATCTTTGTCTTGTATCTGCAATCATTTAAATTTTTACTTTAATTTAGCAGATAAATTTTAAAAAAGACCAAGTTTGTTTTCAAATTATTTTACAGCCCCAAAGTTCTTTCAACATAACAATTTTAGCCCTCATGTCAAAAAGTTTGGACATCATTGCCCTAAGCAGTAATACCAAGCCCTTTCAGTAATGAGTGAAAGGGTTATCAGACATTTAAGCCTTAGTCTGATGTGAAATTTGAAAAGTTGCCTGCTTTTCTGGATTTTTTTGCTGCAAATTCCTTGACAAGATCACTGAAGTCCAGCTTTCTCACTAGATCACTCTCAATAGACATGAGAGTCAAATGGTTCAGTCTTTCCTGTCCCATTGTGGATCTGAGTCTATTTTTAACTATTTTAAGCTTGGAGAATGATCGCTCACCACTTGCATTTGTGACAGGAAATGTCAGGTAAAGCCTGAAAGCAATATCCACATTTGGGAAGATGTCCTGCAGTTTCTTTTCCCTAATGAATTGTAAAAGCAATGGAGCAGATGTGATGCCTTTATCACGAATAAAATCTTTAAACTGGACAATTTCCTCCACAAAGTCCATCTCCAAGTCAGATGAATATTTACTTTGGAGATGAAATGCTTTGTTTCTTAGCTCTGGAACAGTAACACCAGAAAAATTGTTCAGGAAGCCAAAAGTGTTGTTGAGGTTATCATATGCAACATACCTGCGATCGATTTCAGAAAGCAATCTGTCAACAACCACCAAAAAAACACTGGTGGAGAACTTTTGTTGAGCTGATAAGTCAACCTCTGAGGTGGCGCTCTCTCCAAAAAATGTTTTTGGAGTCTTTGATCTTCGACCAGTAACTCTGTAAGCCTGTGAAACTGTTGGAGACAACTTCTTTGCTTGAGACTCAAACCTATCAAATTGATCTCTCAGACCTCCAATGTACTCCCGCAAGGATCCCACCAAATCCACAGCTGTACACAAGTCCAGTTCCATAGACTGCAAAGCTGCACTTGCTTTTTCAAAGCGCTGCAAAATGCTATGCCAAAATGTACACATAAAAGCTGTTTCAAGCTTGTCCATTTTTTTATCAAGTGATCTTGCTTCATTTCTTATTGCTGCGTTTTGGTTTGTGTCATTTACAATATTCTTCAATGATTTTTGAATGTTTGCGTAGTTAATATACACTGCCTGTGTGGCATCTGCATGTGCAGCCCATCTAGTGTTCGAAAGGGACTTCAATGTTTCAATGCGCTTGTTTGCATTAGGCTGCAGTCCATCTGTTACCACCTTCCACCTTGCTGTCGACTTGGAGCAAAAGTTAAATAAGTTTTGCACAAACTGGAAAAAATTAGCTGTCTCAAAACAACAGTTAACACTATTAACTCCAACCAAATTCAGGGTATGTGCAGCACATGGAACCCATTCAACTAGTGGGTTGAGTTCTTTCATTCGTGCTTGTAGTCCTTTATATACTCCTGACATGTTGGCAGCATTATCATAGCATTGCCCCCTGCAGTTTGCAATGTCAATCCCCATCTCTTCCAAAACCTTGAGTACAGACGCACATAAAGCTTCCCCAGTATGACTTTCAATTGGTAGAAACTTCAGAAAGCGTTCCTGCGAGTGTCCTTCAGGTGACACATATCTTAACACAAATGTTAACTGATCAACATGTGCCACATCTGGCGCGGAGTCAACAGAGATTGAGAAGTATTTTGCCATTTTTACTTCACTCACTATTTCTGATAGAACACGATCACCCATCAATTGAATAAATTCCTCACATGTTTGGGAAGAAAGATATGAGGGTTTCCCTGAACCTGCATTTCCATATTTCTCTATGTGAAACTTCAGAAAAGGATCAAACTCGCTGATTAACTCCAGTATTCCCAGATAATTCCCATTATCAGTTCGGCCAAATATGTCACTGGCTCCTCTAAGAGCCAGTCCCCTCTCTGCTAAAAACTTGACAACAGACACAACTCTTCTCAACACTTCAGTCCAATATGAACACTCAGATTCAAATTGTTTCTGCAGTTCTGTGTCTATCCTCCCGCTGGCTGCTGCAAGTAAAACATATGTCAGCATTGTTTTTCTATGTTGTTCGCTGTTTTCGTGCTCTTTCATGCGTACAGTTGCGTGCTTCCAGTCACTGAAACCAGTTTCAAAGCTTGACTGAGTATTAGCATTGCTGAAAATGCGGCATGCAAAACAAAACGCAGCTCCGGTGGATGGAGAGTAGAGCAGCCACGGTCTTTCGATGTACTCACCATTTAACATCTTGCGTTTAAAGTGAGATTTGGAGAAGTGACGCTTTTGATGCTTGTACACCCGTTCTGATGCTTGAAAGCTAACATTCATATTTTGACAGCTCTCCGGTCCTCGCTCAGCCCAGTAAGCCCGCACGGACCCGTCAATTTCCCCCCAATGCGTGGGATCGGTACTGTACGGATCCACAGTCGTCTTTCCATCTGCCGAAGAAGATCCCGCTTCCACCGACTCTGACTCCACAGACGCCAGTCCAGCCCCCGACTCAGTCACGGTTAAAGGTTCTGGCGGGATCCGTGTAGTGCCGGTGTTAGCCAAGCTAAGGGTATGAGGAGCGGGGGGGGGGGGGGGGGGG